GAGACCTGCTGTACAATATAGTGCCTATAGTTAACATTACTGTATTGTACACTTAAAAATTTGTCAGGAGGGCAGATCTCATATTAAGCGTTCTTACCACAATAAAATAAAAATAAGGACAATGTGGTGGGTTTTCCATAAAGCTAAATTTGTTCTGAATTTGTGCCCTTTCTAGTTTTTGCTGTTTAAAATTCTAAGAAATAAAGGTACTAGGCAATGATTTTTCTTTTTTTTTTTCTTAGCTGCGTTGGGTCTTCAGTGCTATGCGCGGGCTTTCTCTAGTTGTGGGGAGCAGGGGCTACCCTTCGTCGCGGTGCGTGGGCTTCTCTTGTTGCGGAGCACAGGCTCTAGGCGCACAGGCTTCAGTAGTTGTGGCACACAGGCTCAGTATTTGTGGCTCGTGGGCTCTGGATCGCAGGCTCAGTAGTTGTGACGCATGGGCTTAGTTGCTCCGCGGCATGTGAGATCTTCCCGGACCAGGGATTGAGCCTGTGTCTCCTGCGTTGGCAGGCAGATTCCTAACCACTGTGCCATCAGGGAAGTCCCTTTCTTTTTTTTTAAACATCATTACTTAACAAAATAAAAAGTAAGAAATCCTGAAAAAAAAAGTCTCCTTTTTCGAAAGGCATACACTTTTGGTATGAGGAAAGGTAGACAAGGCAGGATGCAGCATGGCCTAGTGGCCAAGAGAGTGGACTCCAGAGTGGGTGCACCGGGCTCTTCCCCCACTCCCACCCCACCCCCACCTCTTACAAGCCTTGAAACCTTGGGAAATTGCTCTGGTGCTCTTGGGAAATGGGGGTACTACCTCATGGGGCTGTTTCAAGGATTGAGTTTATCCATGTGAGAAGCTGAGAAAATGGACAGACTTTAGAAATGGTAACCATGATAGATGTCATGTGACATCTGCTTAGGAGAAGGTAACATTTCCTGATGGAAAATGGAGCCCTAGGGCTTATTATACTCCTTAGTCAAAAGTCCTCCTATCTGTTTTAGTTTCCTATTGCAGCCATAACAAATGACCACAAATTTACTGGCTGAAAGTAATACAAATTTATTATCTTAGACTCTGTAGGTCAGGAGTCCGGTGGTAAATCAAGGTGTCAGCAGGGCTGCATTCCTTTCTGGAGGTTCCAGGGGAGAATCCGCTTCCTGCTCCTTGAGGTTGTTGACAGAATTTAGTTTCTTGGCAGTTATAGGACCAAGGTCTGCTTTGCTAGCTGTCAGCTGAGGGTAGTTCCCAGCTTCTAGAGGCTGCAGCATTCCTTGACTCCCAGCCCTCTTCCTTCATCTTCAGAGCCAGCTGCTGCAAATGAGTCCTTTTCATGTCCCATTTCTTTGACCCTGTCTTCCATCCTCTTAGACTATAGGAACCCATGTGATTCGATTGGGCCCACCCAGATAATCCAAGATAATCTCCCTATTGTAAGGTCAGCTGGTTAGCAGCCTTAACTCCAGTGCCACTGTAATTCTCCTTTGCCATGTACGGTAGCACAGTCACAGGTTCCAGGATTAGGGTGGAAACATCTTTGAGGGGGCCGTTATTCTGCCTACCACATCCAGTGAACTGGAATTTCACTGGGGTCTGTAACAGGTCATTTATGTTTACCTTTTATTTCCTCATCAAAAAAGTTAAGTGACCTACCACATAGGATAGGTAGTTTTTTTTTTAACATCTTTATTGGAGTATAATTGCTTTACAATGGTGTGTTAGTTTCTGCTTTATAACAAAGTGACTCAGCTATACATATACAGATACCCCATATCTCCTCCCTCTTGCGTCTCCCTCCCACCCTCCCTATCCCACCCCTCTAGCAAGCACCGAGCTGATCTCCCTGTGCTATGCGGCTGCTTCCCACTAGCTATCTGTTTTACGTTTGGTAGTGTATATTTGTTCATGCCACTCTCTCACTTCGCCCCAGCTTACCCGTCCCCCTCCCCGTGTCCTCAAGTCCATTCTCTACGTCTGTGTCTTTATTCCTGTCCTGCCCCTAGGTTCATCAGAACCTTTTTTTTTTAGATTCCATATATATGTGTTAGCATACGGTATTTGTTTTTCTCCTTCTGACTTACTTCACTCTGTATGACCGTCTCTAGGTCCATCCACGTCACTACAGATAACTCAGTTTCGCTTCTTTTGGGATAGGTCATTTTTATTGAGCACTTGCTGTGAGCTTGGCCCTGTGTGCTAACTGTATGCTCAGGAAGAGTCTGTGAGGCAGGTTCTATTATTATCTCCATGTTATAAACGAGGAAACTGCATTTTGGAGGAGTTAAGTAATTGATCAAAATAATTCAACTGGTGAGGCGATCAGACATTTCAAGTGGATTGCTGTACCTCAGAGGTTTGGCTAGAAATCCCCCTTCATATGGCAGTGCATACTAATTAGAAATAAATATTTTTATTAAAACAAATGTTTCAATTTTGCTAATAGAAATTATTATTCATGTTCATGGACATGGTAAGAAAATAAAATTTCTACTGTAGCTTAGCCAAGTTGACACATAAAATTAACCATCACAGTGCAGTGCTGTTTAGCTTATTCCTCTAGCCCTTTGCAATCCAATATGGCAGGCACCAGATGTTGACTACATGAAGTGTAGCTAATCTGAACTGAGGTATGCTGTAAGCGCAAATTCACACCAAATTTAGAAGACATGGTACAAATAAAAAGATTGTAAACTATCTCATAATTTTAATGTTGATTGATGTTATATTGATTACATGTTGAAATAATAGTATTTTAGATGTGTTGGGTTAAATAAAATGTATCAATCACTTTAAAAAAACAATGAAACCCAATATGTATTGAAATTAGATATAAGGAGAATGGTTGCATTGTAAAATATTTTAAATAAAACTGTCCGAAAATGCAAAAAAATTTGATTTCTGGCTTGTGCTAAGTCACAAACTGTCTTTTGAAGTCAGAATGTTGTTTTTGCTGAGATGATGATGGTTTCTGCCAAGAGAGATCTGATTTGTAATAGGGTGGATGGGTTCAATACTTCATTAGTGAGATATTTGGCTGTCATGTTTTGTTATACTATAAGTGATATGTAATCAAACAAGAAAAATTTCCTAGCAACAGTTGTTTTCTTCAACCAGAAGAATGTCTTTATGTACTCATTTTCTTAATGTCCAAAGGATAAAAAAAGTTTATGAATTTAGCATCTTATGTTCTTATCTTATTCTAAGATAATATATCTTATATTTTTGATTAACTAAGTAGGGAACCACATGGTTTTTATGACAGACCCAATTGTTGGACATAGTTATCTCACTTGCCTTCATAAGCCTCTTTTTATCTCTTCTTCATTAATTACATACCCAAACTTTTTTTTAAACACTCATCAGGTCTCTAGGTTCTACCTCATTTCATTTGTTTATTCAACAAATGTTTGAATACTGTGTGCTAGGAGGTCCTAGGAGTATTGTGCCCTCATGAAACTTATATATATTTGTGAAGGATTCAAACATGAATGAAAGAATTACACAAATCAGGAAGTGCATGGATGCTATCAATGTGAATAAAAGGTTCTTATCTGAATCGAAGGGCAGAGGACAGGGGAAAGCCTTGATCTAAAGGATGAATAGCATTTAGCCAGACCAAAATTGGGATTGACCAGTCTAGGTCAAGGGATTTATTTTGCAAAGGTCCTATCCCAGGAAAGAGCTTGGCAAGTTGGAAGAGCAACAGCAAGAATGCCTCTGGTGTGTGTGTGTGTGTGTGAAAGTGGCTCTCAAGGAATAGCGTAAGGCATAGGCGCTGAGTCCTGTAGAGCTCTGTTCAGAGCAACAAGTAGACCTGGATATTGTGTGATGATCCACCAAGCAATACGTATGGCCTGTTTCCCCAGAACTCCATCATCAAGTGAATGTGGTCTGTAGATAGGGTGACCATCCAATTTATCATCCAAACCAGGATACTCTTGAGAGTGAAACGGGGCACTATTAATTATGCTGGGACAATAAGTATAAACCAGTATGTATAACTTGGGCAAGCCAAGATGTATGATCACTATGCTTAGAGACAGGCTCTCAACCACTTCAGTAAGCCTGAAGTTGCCTAGGAGCCATGCTCTGAAATTACAGGGTTAGGCATGTGTTCCTGCTTTCTCACATTCCCCCCCTCCTTCACCCATGGATAACTCTGAGCGAAGGCCACCGGCAGAACCTGCACCAAGTCTAGACCACAGAATCACAGCCCTATTGCCCACCCAACTACAGCCTAGTGTTTTTCAGATTGCCATCTCATGAGAGCTCAGATCCTCGACGTACAGCAGGTCTTATTAATGTGTTTTCAGAGTTAAAGTCTTAAAAACATCTGGGAAAGCAAGTAAGGCCTTAAACATTTAGCACGTGAACTTTTCCCACTAGAACCTTTCCTACCTTACTTTTCATTGATGACGTGACCTAATTATATGTTCCCAGATGGTGGCCAGGCGGAATGGGTGCCGTCTGGTTATAACCTCTTCCAGAGTAAACATGTTTTGTGATTTAGCCCCTATGGTGGATGATATATGGAGCGGAGTACCCACAGGAAACCGCCCCATAGGTGTGAAACCTTTTTTTTTTAGTTTCAGATCATGATGACTATTCTTTTTTTTTTTTATTGGAGTATACAGTGTTGTGTTAGTTTCAGGTGTACAGCAAAGTGATTCAGTAACCTTCTTTAACAATTACAGTGGCATGAAGTAGTAAAGAAATCTTTTCACTATTGATTGGATTTTTTATCAAATCAGCTGTTGGCCGAATCTGTGTAGTGAGGATTAATGGAGCTTTATTTCCTGCTCTCCTCTGTGCCTGAGTCACTTTCTATAGCAGGGCCCTCAGGGAGCCCTAGGAATTCCTTCAGTTTACCGAGACATGGGTCACTTTGCATCAGATAATATTCAGTCACATGGTGAAGATGTGCACTTTGAAACAGTCTACCATTTCTTTAGAAGTTTTACTATTTCTTTTCAAACTGCATTAATATTCTTACTTTCTGTTTTACAAGTCGGAAAATGTGAAGAATTCACCCGGAAATAAGTAGAATACTCCATGCTCTGCCCATTTTAATCAGGTAAAGAACAAGAAAACTCTGTGGTTATTTTTAGCATTATTAGCACCAATTGAAATGACTTGTCTTTAATTAATTTAATTTGATTAATTATAGCCATTTCAACTTCGTGTGGACACATAAGGGTCAGGATGATATTTCCTTCCATCTTTAATTTCTGGGCTTAAGTGCTGTGACTTTTTAATTGTGTTTGTTCCTGAGAAGTACCTGGGTTTTTTATACAAGCTAGAACTCGACATTTGGGATTTGTCTATAAACCTATTTCAAACAATTATTTCCTAGGCTTATTTTTTTTTCAGACAGCATTTCACTATAGTAAGCACAGTTGTATGCATCTAATAATCATTCAATAAACATTTGATGAATGCATGACTATTGTAGAGAAGCTCAAAATTATATAGAGTAAGTGACATAGGGAATTCATAGGTGTCGTTGTCTTTCTTTGTGGATTTGAGTAACTTGAGTCTAGAGAAATTTAGGATAGTATCTGATAAAGTCAATCAGTGTGATTTCTTCTGGTCGTATACTCAATTCACCATTTGTTTTCATTCATATGTTCAATATTTACCCATTGAGTACTTGCTAAGTAGAAAACACTAGTTATGTTAATAGTATTTTGTGTATATATTAAAAATTATATAATAGCACTTATGATTTCATGGTAATTAGATTATATTGAATTTGGAAACAATGTAAATATTCAGCTACAGGAAAATGGTTTAATTATGGTATGTCCATAAAGAGGAATGTTATTATGTTTCAATAATATTTAATTGCATGGGAACATATGCACAATTATTAAATTAAAAAAAAAAGGCTAGTGTGATACATTTTTAGAGAGGATAATGACCAGGAAATACAACAAAAATTTAAGTATGTATCTTCAGATAGTAGGATTATGGGTGATTTTTATATTTTTTCTTCTATATAACTTTATGTATTTTTAAATTTTTTGCAATGAATATGCATTTTCTTTATAATAGAAATTTGTTTAAAAAAATCAGTGTCACATTTATCATAAGGCATGGCTACTATTTAAAACTCATGAAAGCTCTGGGTTTGAGGTTTTCTTTCTCAAGTTGTCTCTGTGTTTTCAGAGACCTAGAGAGTCATATAATCTTAGAATTTGAAAAGGATCATCTGGCCCAACCCCCAGCCTCAAGTGTAAGTTCTCTGTAGCCCTGTGTGTTCCCACTTTTCACCTCCACTGATAGGAAAAGCACCCCACAGGACAGCCATCTTTGGGCAGTCCTAATTTTTAGGGAGCTGTTTCTTATACTAAGCAAAAATACGTCTTCTTGTAACTCCTACACAATGGTCTGATCTTGCCTTAGCAGTCACAGAAAATAAATCCAGATCCTCTTTCACATCACAGCCTTTCATATAGTAACCCCAAATCAGCATTTCTCAAATTTTGTTATACAAATTACCTGGGAAGCTTGTTAAAAAGCAGAGGCGTAGACCCCACCGCAGAACTGGCATCTCTGGAAAGTGGAGCCCGATGTGCATCAGATATGCTGTTAGAAAGGCGACTGGTGGGTAAGCAGCCAGGAAGTCACACATGTCCTTCAGAGACTTTACACTGAATATGGTTATATTTCTTTACAGGGGCAACGAGCCACAGAATAAAGGAAAACCATGTACATATCCACTTCATTCTTTCAAAAATATTCTGGGCCAGAGTTCAGCTTACTATATACACAGCCTTGATTTCATTTTTAATTTTTGTTAGCTCTTTATTGGAGACGTAATTTTTAATTATAAAAGTGATGCATATTTGTTGTAAAGAGTTTTTTTAGATAAATATTTTTAAAGCTTGTCTTGTCCTCCATTCCTTTCCCAGAGGTAATTTCTGTTGATAGTTTGGTACATCATTCCAGACTTTTTTCTTTATGTGTAACATACACACACACACACACGCACATGCACATGCACACGCATCCATACATGCTTTTGGGTTTTTGATAGAATGAGATCATATTCCTTGTACTGTTTTGCAAGTATACTGAAAGCTCCATGCAGGCACATAGTGCAGTTTTATTATCACACCTAAAGAAATTAACACTAATTCTGTAATATCATCTAATATTCAGGTAGTTTGCAGATTTCCCTGATTGTCTCATTAATAACTTTTTACAGTTATTTTGTTTGAGTCATGATCCAAACAAGATCTGCCACTGCATTTGACTGATGAGTCTCTTAAGTCCCTTTTATTTTTTTGTTTTTTAATTTTTTTACAAAGATATAAACTGTCTTTATTTTCAGCTGTTTTAAGTCCCTTTTAAACTGTAATAGTTCCTTCTCCCTCATTTTTCTCTTATCATTTATTTGTTGAAAAACTGGGCTTATTTGTCCTCTAAATTTCCCATGCTCTGGCTGTGGCTGAGTGCATCCATTTAGTGTCATTCTGTTTATCTCTTGGTTCCTCTCCTCTCTGCATTTCCCATAAACTGATAGTTGGATCTGAAGGCTAAATCAGATTTAGGTTCAATTTTTTGGTAAGAATACTTTGTAGGCAGTGTTATGTTTAGTTATGTTGAACGAACTTGCTTTTTTTTTCACTTAATATGTTGTGTACATCTTTCCCTGTTGGTACTTATAGATCTATCTCATTCCTCCTTTAGCTGCTTCATAATTTCCTAGTAGGGACTACCATGATCTATTGAATCCTTATTAATATAGATTACTGGCAGTTTGTAGTTTTTTTTTAACAATGCAGTAAATCTACTGAATTCTTAGAGAAGTTCAAAACAGATTAATAAACAGAGATAGAAAAGGTAAGTTAGTGGTTTAGATGTTTAAGAATTTTTAGTTTTATATTAAAACTAAAATATTTATAAACCTCTAATTGCTAAGTAGATTCATTATGTATTAGGAAAAAGGCAATCTGGAGAAGAGTTGGTTTGTCTTTGTTGTCTTTGGATTTGATGTGTGTTTCATTCCAGAAAAGAATGATGGGGTGATGTGAGGAAAGGTATGCGTCAGACTAGCAATGATGTAATCGTGCTCTCCTCCAGCAGATGGATGGAAATGTAGTTGTTTGGTTTTCAGAAGGGGAGCGATGTAGTGTGTCCTGTGCCATTTAAGCGTTTATTTTTAATTTATTCACCCATCCATCTGTTTATCTCACATACCCAGCTAGCTGAGAATCTGCATGTAGTATTGATGTAACACAAAACCTTTCTGGTTTTTAGTGTACCCATTTATAAAATGGAAATAATTACAGATTTCTCTGGCTCATTGTCATCCTCATGGTCATATAATGGTATTATAAGTATTTGATGTGATCACTTAAACCTAAAGAATTTTCAAACTGCAAAATCTTAGAGCTGTTTTTATTTTGGGGGGAACTGTTTGTTTATGGTTTTCTTTTTCTTTTAGTTATAGGTAAACATTGGAAACTCCATATGATAAACCAGTATTTCTACAGAAAAATGGCAGAGAAGTCAGTACTGAATGTAGTAAGTTGGCATTCTTCTTCAGGAAAAACTATACTAGGCCTCTTTGTTATCTTGGGTGATGCCATACTCCAAGTGGACTAATCTGAAATTCTTTCACCTAGAGATAATGTATAAGCCTTAGAACTCCTCGTTCTCATGTTGCTATTTATGTACATAATTAAAATTCTAAGTTAAAAAAAAAGTTGTCCTGCTTTTTTTTCTCTTATTATTTATTGAGTGACAGTTTAAGTGTATCTCATGTCCCTGTGTGTGTCTCTGAGTGTACCTGTATGTGTGTGGGGGGGTATGCGTGTGTGCATGGTATGTGTGTATGTTAAAACCATTCACTCTGCTTCTTAGCATCAGCTGTCAGGCAGTCTCCAAAGGTCAAGTTGAGAAAAGTGGCTCTGGAGCAGAGAGACGATGCTTCTATTGCCAGCACAAGGAGCAAAACTTGTAAGTAAAAGTTTGCCTGACCCTGATGAGAAGACATACAAAAGAACAGTGACCGTGACCCCTTATTGTGTGCCATTGCCTCCCAGCTTGTACAGATCTTCCGGTTCTTGACTGCCAGCGGGAGATGCATAATGACGTAGTCTCTGTCCTCTGCCAGCGGAGGAATGGTATGTGGTTGTGTGTGTTGGTTCTCTGTATGTAGGCCTTGTATTTGCCTTTGTGGCCTCTAAATGCACAGCTCACTGAACTCCGTCTTCCCGGTGCTGGTGGGAACAGCAGGAGTTTCTTTTGACTTGTCAGCCAGCCAGGAAGGATGGGTGGGGAAACTATATGAAAGAGGATTGAGAATTTCCAAATCTCAGTCAAGCTTAGAAATTATAAGTCATCTTTGTATTCTTATAGTGTCAATTTAATTCCTAAATTGTTGACCTTCCAGAACCGATAGCAGTTGGTAAGATAGCAATACACAAATGGAACATGCACATGTTAATGTTAAATACATTTGACAGAGCCAAGATGACAGGAACGGTGCCAGCATTGTTACTGGATTAATGAGCCGAAGCATATTTGTCTCCAGAATAATCCCCCTAGTGACCCAGAAATCTTTTATTTCCTGCTATACTGAAATACTTTCGTGTTACTATACCAGTCAACCAAATACATTAAAGCTGTGCCTAAATTATAATATCTCACTATAAATATACTATTATTGTTTCAGGCTTTTCCCGTTGGCTTGGCTTCCTCTGTCACCTCCAGAAAGTAGAGAATCCACAGGTTTCCTCACTCTTGATCTAGAGAAGATGAAGGAATGGCCCCCACCACAGTGTGCTCTGGAGATCATCAATCAAAAGGTGTTTCAGAGTCTCCTAATTGGAAGGTATTACTTCCATTTTTAATACTTCAGTCGTGTTGAAACATTGCCTTAAAATCTCTTAACTCCTCCAAGGACGGTGGGTCTCACAGAGCTGGCACCCAGTAGTATCTGGCCCATATTTAGGATAACAAGTGAATCACCCAGGGCAACTCAGTTGCTTTTATACTATGATCTTTTCCTTTCATGGCTGTTTGTATCCAGTGCTGCCTTTTTTTGTATTTAATACTTTTTGCATGCCTTCCATGAACTTTGAACTGCAGGGAATATAAATTTTGCATATTATAGTATCTTACATTTCCCTAGCTGTTTATACTTTTCTAATGCTATTTTCTATCTTTCCTTTTTGGCTTATTTCCTGACCTCAGTGCATTTGTACTCTGTTTTTCTCTGTCCTGAGGTAGTACTCTCTACTTACATTTACACTCTTTACTCTGTTTCTTATGACCATTTTTTTCTTATAATAAGACTGACTCTCAATCCAATTTATCTCTAACTTAATCAGGATGGTTCTATTTGAATAACTTTAGGGCTTTGGAGACAACGTTCTCTACCATACAGAGTGATTTAAGCTTCTCTGAAGAGACAGATGTGGCATGTTTTATTCTGTAATAATGTGTCCTAAGAAAGATTGCTTTGTCAAAAATCAAGATTTAAAAGCAATTGTTTCAGTGGGAAAGAAAGAGACTAGTGGCGCTAAAGAATGCCTTCATCAATCTTATCACCTATGTCACGCCTTGGGACAGAGTCACAATAATAGTAGTAGATAGAAGAATCGAGGCCCGCTGAGGGACTACCCACCCAGGCAGTGGAGTAGCAGGTGCCTGGGCTGCTGGGTCAGCAGCTTTTGTGCTAAGTGCAGTGCTGGATCCCAGCCCAGTAGAGGCCTGTGTGATGCAAAGCACTTCCCTAATGGATCAATGACATTATATCTAAATGGCTCAAAGAAAATTCAAAATATATGTAAAATGCCTGTGTTCACATACAGAGATAGAAAAATGCAACTAGCTTGTGGTTAAATAGCAAATCTGTGACAGTTAAAATTAGGCCAAGTAATGAGTAATGATGATTTTCATTAGTTTAAAGATAAAATTCAGAATGCTTGAGCTCAGCAAAAAAAAGAGATTATGTTTTCCTCATTGTCCTATCTTGATGAACACACTTGGCACAATCTTTTGGAAAAGGCTGGGTATTTAGAGGAACATTTTCGTCTGTGACCAGCACTATTCATGATTATTTATAGGAGCTGAGGAATTTACCGTGAGTGTACGTTTTCACTTTTTATTTAATTCATTGCACCCACCCAAGTTAATGCAAAAACCACTGTCAGAGGGACCAGCAGTATATTTGTGGGACTACACCCTCATCCGAGGCTTAATTTTAATTAAAAGTAAATATTTGCAATAATGGTTTTGTTCAGCACTGGTTGAAAGAAACTTGCTTGAGGTTTTGGTTTTCACCCTGTCTACCTCCTGTCTGATGTTTTGTTTCCCTTCTGAGAGGTTCAGATTCCAAGTCAATAATTAGCCAGCACATAGTTCTAAAGGTACAATTAGGTCAAACTCCAGATATAACCGAAGTTCAGGCTTATTTAAGTTTATGAAATGATAGCCAAGCACATTTCTCAGTGGGAGAAAAGTTTGTTTTCATAAACAAGCGTTTCACTATTTCACATTTTGTTCAGTGCTGAGTCACCTGTATTTCATATTTAAGGGCCTTTATCATCTTAATCAGCTCTAGAACTTAGTTGTTCAACTTTAGCTGTGACTCTTGAAGGCAAAAGAAAAGCAAAGGAAGTGACTCTTCTCCCTGCCCACCCTCCCACCTGTGACGTAGTCTTCAGACTCAGCATTGGCAAAGTCACTCCGTAAATTCTCTCTCCTCTCAGGTACACCCTGAAGGTACACACTGAAGACTCACTTCAGTGCTGGCCTGTTTTGGGAGTGTACAGGACAGGTGGAACAAAAAACAAATGCAAAGATGGAGGAAAATCCAGGATGCGAAGACTGCTCCCCACACTCAAAAGTGAAGTCATTAGTGAGTCCTTTAAATGCTTATTTGACACAATACTGGGATTTTGTTAGTGACCCCAAATTTGAGTGTGGTTGGAGGAATGATTTTTTTTAATAAATTTATTTATTTTATTTTTGGCTGCACTGGGTATTTGCTGCTTTCTCTAGTTGCGGTGAGCGGGGGCTACTCTTCATTGCGGTGCACGGGCTTCTCATCATGGTGGCCTCTCTTGTTGCGGAGCACGGGCTCTAGGCACGTGGGCTTCAGTAGTTGCAGCATGCGGGCTCAGTAGTTGTGGTGCGCGGGCTCTAGAGTGCAGGCTAAATAGTTATGGCGCACGGTCTTAGTTATTCCAAGGCATGTGGCATCTTCCTGGACCAGGGATCGAACCTATGTCCCCTGCATTGGCAGGCGGATACTTAACCACTGCACCACCAGGGAAGTCCTAGATAAGATTTAATGTCTTATTACTTTCAGTATGAATAGGAATTTAAATGTCTGGCTAAGAGTAGTACCAGTTGAGATCCTGCAAGTCGTGCTTTAATGGATAGATATGTTTAATTTAAAATTAATATCTGTTTGCATAGTAAGGTATGCCACTGTCCTTTAAAAATCTCTTAGCTTAAACATGCACCATACAATATCTACTGTTGTAATATACTTTTTAAAATTCATTGATAGTATAAACTTCATCTCACTAAAATGATGACAAAATCAGAATATCATTAGACACCAAATTTGGATGTTTCCTTAAGTAAATTTCAAATTAGAGCTTAAGTGAATGCGATGGCCTCTGTGCAGAAGAGAGTTAACATAGCAGGCCTGAGACTGCCATCTTTAGAAAGACTTTCTTGCAGGGTTGGCCCTTAGGAAACTCAGCTTCTCAGAAGTTCCCCAAGCTGATAAAGGCTGAGGCACCAGACTCTGCTCTGTCAGGTCACGTAGATTGTTTGTGCAAATGATGTGATTTATGGCAAACACCTGATTTCCATCTGGGGATCGTGAATTTTGGTAGTTGCTAGGCAGGGGCTGCTTCTGCGACCAGCCCCTAGTAAAAACCTTGGGTGCTGAGTCTCTTTAATGGGCTTCCCTGCGGCAGAAGCACTGCACATGTGTGGTGGCAGTTTTTCTGCTGGAGAAGGGAAGACACTCATGTATCCCTGTTAGGCTGGGCGGGAGAGAGCCTCTGAAGCTTATGCGTGCATTTCTCCAGATTCTGCCCTTGTCTTTTTCTCTTGCTGGTCTTGTTGTGTACCCTTTGCCGTGATAAACCTAAGCCACGAGGACAACCATATGCTGTCCTGTGAGTCATCTCAGCGAATTGCCGAATGTGTGGGTAATCTTGGGGACACGCAAAACAGCATGTTGAGCTGCTATTTGTCTCATTTATGTTGTGCCATCTTCCCCTCTGCTTTAGAGGAAAAACATAAATATAAAAGGACTATTATATTTACATTAAATATTTCCAGGTCACAAGACATTAAAAAACAGTTTTTATTTGTCTTCCTCAAGCAACAAGAAAGTAGTTTTTGAAAGCCACCAAAAACTAAGCTTCCTTATTTAGACCAAATTAGTGATTGGATTTTTTTTTTCTGATTCTTACAATAGAGTCTTTCTTCCTTCCCTCACGCTATGGAGGCAAGCTGTTTGGGCTAGTTCATAAGTAAATAGGTCATAAACTGCACTCCATTCAAAAGTGACGTACTTATGAAAGCATTTATTTGTCCTACAGAGAGAGCACTAGCTCATTTCAAATATTGTTCTCAGCCCAGATCAGAATGCTAAAGAGCACACATTGCACATTTTGTTTTAAACACAATAGTTTGTTTGTTTTTCGATGGTGCCATAAATATTTCCCTGGGAAAGCACTACCAAATAGGTAAGACTTTTAGACTGTGTGGGATCATAGACCTAAATGTAAGAGCTGAAACCAGAACTCTCAGAAGATGACATAGGAGTAAATCTTGGTAAAGGAGTAAATCATGACCTTGGGTTGGGCAATGGTTCCTTTGATACAACACCAAAAGTACAAGCGACAGGACAGATAAATTGGGCTATCTCAAAATTTTAAAACTTTAGTGCTATAAACAATACTATCAAGAAAATTAAAAGACAACCCATTGAGTGCAGAAAATATTTGTATAATAAGACGTATATCTGATAAGAGTCGGTGTCCAGATATATGAAGAACTTTTACAACTCAACAACAGAAAGACAAATAACCCAGTTAAAACTGGGCAAAGGATTTGAACAGACATTTTTCCAAAGAAGGTATACAAATGGCCAATAAATACATGAAAAAGATGTTCAACATCCTTAGTCATTAGGGCAATACAAGTGAAGACCACAGTGAGATACCACATCACATCTACTAGGATGGCTATAATAGAAAAGGCAGACAATAACAAGCATTGATGAGAATGTGAAGAAAACAGTCCAGCAGTTCCTCAAAATATTGAGCCTAGAGTATTCATATGACCCAGGAATTCCATTCCTAGGTATATACCCAAGAGAAATGAAAACATGGTCCTCATGAAAACTTGTACACACATGTCCATAGCATCATTATTCATAACAGCCAAACAGTGGAAACAACTGAATGTCCATCAACAGATGAATAGGTAAACAAAATGTATTTTCACACAATGGAATATTATTCAGCCATGGAAAGGAATGACGTACTGATAAATGCTACATCGATGACACTTTAAAACCTTATGCTGAGTGAAAGAAACCAGTCACATATTGTATTGTAAGACCACATATGGTATGATTCCATTTACTTGAGATGTCTAGAATAGGCAAATCCATAGAGACAGAAAGTAGATTAGTGGTTGCTTAGGGCTGTGCATGGTGGGAGTGGAGTTGAGTGTTATCAGTCAGGGTTCAACTAGAGCAACAGAACAAGTAGGAGATATATACTGAGAGGTTTATTGCAAGGAATTTGCTTAGGTGATTGTGGGGGTTAGCTAGGCAAGTCCAGAATCCATAGGACAGAGCATCAGGAAGGGCAGGCTCTCAGGTGTGAGCTGAAGCTATAGTCCATAAGTGGAATTTCTTCTTCAGGGAAACCTCAGTTCTGCTTTTAGGCCTTTCAGCTGATTGAATCAGGCCCACTTAGATTTAAGTCAACTGATTATGGACTTAATCACATCTAGAAAATAACTTTCACAGCAGTACCTAGATTAGTGTTTGATTGGACACCTAGGGACTGTAGTCTAGCCAAGTTGATACATAAAACTGACCATCATGGGCAGTGGCATGGAGGGAAAGTGACTGCTAATGGTTTTCTTTTTGAGGTGATGAATATGTTCTAAAAGTGAGGTGATGGTTGTACAACTCTGAATATATGGAAAACTATTGAATTGTACACTTTAAATGGGTGAATTGTATGGTTTGTGAATTATATCTCAATAAAGATGTTTTTTAAAAGACTGTGTATGTATTTGCATACCTGTGTTTATAGCAACACTATTCACAATAGCTGGGGGGTGGAAGCAACCCAAATGCCCATCGACAGATAAATAAAATGGAATATATCCATAAATGGAATATTACTCAGCCTTAAAAATGAAGGAAATCTAAAACCAAAAAAATTTTTTTAAAAAGGAAAGAAACCCTGTCAACATGCTACAATATAGATGAAACTTGAGGACATTATTCTAATTGAAATAAGTCACAAAAGGACAAATACTGTGTGATTCCACTGATATGGTATCTAAAGTACAGTGGTCCCCCCTTATCCATGGTTTTGCTTTCTGCAGTTTCAGTTACCCAGTTTCAGTTACCCATAGTCAACCAAGTTCCCAATATATTAAATGGAAAGTTCCAGAAATAAACAATTTGTAAGTTTTAAATTACCATTATGAGTAGTGTGATGAAATCTTGCGCCATCCCACCTGGGACATATAAAAGTTATGTTTATATTGTATTGTAGTTTATTGTGTGCAATAGCATTTTGTCTAAAAAAGCAATGTATGTACCTTAAGTAAAAATACTTTATTACTGGGCTTCCCTGGTGGCGCAGTGGTTGAGAGTCCGCCTGCCGATGCAGGGGACGCGGGTTCGTGCCCTGGTCCAGGAAGATCCCACATGCTGCGGAGCGGCTGGGCCCGTGAGCCGTGGCCGCTGGGCCTGCGCGTCCGGAGCCTGTGCTCCGCAATGGGAGAGGCCACAACAGTGAGAGGCCTGCGTACCGCAAAAAAAAAACCAAAACTTTATTACTAAAAAAATGCTGACCATCATCAGCCTTTAGCAAGTCATAATCTTTTTGTAATAGTAACGTCAAAGATCACAGATCACCATAACAAGTATAATAATAATGAAGAAGTTTAAAATACTGCAAGAATTACCAAAATGTGACACAGAGACCTCCTGAAATGAGCAAATGTTTGGAAAAATCGCACCAAAAGACTTGCTTGACACAGAGTTGCCACAAACCTTCAATTTGTAAAAAATGCGGTGTCTACAAGGTACAATAAAGTGAAATGCAATAAAATGAGGTATGCCTGTATGTATATAGGGTTCGGTATTATCTGTGGTTTCAGGCATCCACTGGGGGTCTTGGAACAATGTATCCCCCATGGTTAAGGGGGTATTACTATAGTCAAATTCATAGAAACAGAAAGAATGGCAGTTGCCAGGAACTAGGGTGAGTTCTTGTTTAATGGGTACAGTTTCAGATTTGCAAAATGGAAAGGTTCTGGAGTTCTGGAGTTTCAGATTTGCAAAATGAAAAAGTTCAAGATGGAAAAGTTCTTTTGCATAGCAATGTAAATATACTTAACAGTACTGAACTTAAAAATAGCATACTTAAAAATGGTTAAGATGGTAGGTTTTATGTTGTTTTTTTAAATCACAATTTTAAAAATGAAAAAAAAAAAGACCTTGTGTCCTGCATTGCCCAAGCAACACCCCTATTACCTGAACTCTGCCCCAACACCCTGTTCTGTCCCATATCGTGTTATACATAGTCTCTGAAATGAAAATGAGGGAATTTCTCAAAATGTAATAAAAGTATACTTAGGAAGTTCAAGTGATATTAGCTCAGTTACTTCTATTTGTGGCTTATTTCTAGGAAGCTGATGATATTTAGAGATGGTGAGTTTACATGATAAAATTTGAGGTAGAGTTGTTTACATTTATTTTCTCCAGTTAACTAAGACAACTGCTAA